TATTTCAAAAACTGTTCACTAAAAGTAATTTTCTTGGTGATGCATTTTGAAATTTTGCATACTGATTGATTTAAATTTTGCACAAAGGCAATAGAACACAAATTTGGAAAGCTTATCCTTGTCATTTATTTATTGCACCTTCTCAAAGCAAGCGCATCCGCCAAAGTAGTTTATATTGCAAATTACTTTGTCGCATTTTAGGCAGGGCTAGAACAGTGACAGATAAAATGATCGAAGTGAGAGTTGGCCCCCACCTCCTCTTTCATACAGCTACAGCAAAAGTCGTTAGTGGTGAAGCCAATCAAACTGTGTCCGCCAAAAAACATTTACTACTGAGCTAATGGAGAGACGATCCAAGAAAAAATAGAGACTCATATCTGTTTACATAATTTATTGGCCAGATTTTCCTGGTTACCTAACAAGTGGCTTCCATCGCCCACCTGTGGTTGGTATGCTCAATGAGGATAGTGGTATGCATGGTTTTTGGGCAGAACTGATTGTCTGAGGTTAGTTTCTTTCCTAAGGAGTTCATTCGCGATGCAGATTTCGTAATATCTACGTGCCTGGGTACCCAGGTTTCATTAGATGTGCATTGCTTAGCTATCTTCGAAGAGGTATTGTTAAATTGTAGAGATTTAATCACATCTTGGGTCTAATAGTAGCCGTAGAACGTGCATCCCGTTACATACGAGCTCCTCAGTCAGTTGCCAGCAGCCTCTTTAGTTCTTCTTAATTCAGGTCTTAGTATTTAGTATAGAGCCATCGCTGAAGATTGGAATGGAAGACATACTCGAATGGAGACATACTCGTCTTTTACGTTTTCTCATTCGCACCACCTCACGGGGATTCTTGTGGAGAAATTATTATCAAAACAGAAGCGTTGAAGGCATAGGATCTAAAATTTTGCTAGGTCCCGTCCAAGGTGGTTAAATTTTTTTACCTAGTTGCATTACAGCTAGCCTTGAGTTTACCGTAACGGTCTATCGGGAGACGATCTTAGAGCATAAATAGAAGGCAGCGTTGATCCGGATCAACTCGGAAATTAACTGCAGTTGATCCGGATTAAGTCCGAGTTAGTCGGCATCAACGCTGCTGTCTGTTTAAGCTTTTAGGGATTTTCGACAGCTTTGGTGGGAGTGCAGGATAAAGATCCCGTATTAGGTACAAGAGTAAAAAAATATAATGAAAATTTGTACTTTATTTTAACTTAAGAAATATGACCACTGTACGCCATATGTATGCATTATGAGAAATATTGTACATAGAACTCCACGCTTTGATTTGTGTTATAATTTTGTATTAAATTATATCCGTACGAAAGGATTTGCTCATAAAAATAATAATTTAATAAATGTTGAAATAGCATTACCATGTTCTATACATACACGTTGCTAGCTAAGTCCACTTTTTGTGAAAACTCAGATTTTTTTGTATCAGAATCTAATCTCAATTAATTAAAACAAACTTGTTTTTTTTTTAGTTCCGAGTCGTGGAAAGCAGGGGTGTTTTTTGTCGAGAACTAAACTAAAACTATTCAGCTACAGAAAAAAAAAAAAAATGTCAATGGTGTGTTATCCTAACGCCCTGCAGTACATAAGTTAATACAATTTTCAGATATATTTCTGTTATGCAGTTTCAAATGGCTACAAAAAAAAACAGTTGATTTTTGAAATTTTTTTTTCTTGCTGGCAGTGCTATGAATTTTCTTCCATACAAAGTATGCTGGACAAAATTTTTATATGAAAGAAAATGCCCAGCATAGTCAACAATGAATTGTCAAAAATCAACGGTATTTTGTAGCCACTTAAAACGCCACTTTATTATATTAAAATTGTATGGGCTACAAAACCGCATACCTGAAATTTTTCTAAAAATATTATTGATAATGAATATGACACATTTTCTTTTTCAAACAAATATTTTTAAAGCACGCTTTGTAAATATGAACGAAATCAAAGACAAAAGATAAAGATATGTAGAATAGATCGCCGAGATTGCAGAGATTCTAAATTAATAAGCAAGCACCTGGAGTAGCATGATGGCATGGGGTCATGAAAGTAATATACGTTCTAAATATGAACCAAATCGGTCTATAAATATGGTCAAATATCTCGACTCATAAGTATTGCATTGTCATCGGGTTCCGAGCCAACTGTGAAGTTTAAAGTCTCTAGATGATCGAGAAGTTGGTCAAAAATTGAGTTTCAGATTTGCACCTAACAAATATACATACAGAGCAAATTCAAAAAAAAGCTTGTATAAAGGAAAAATGATGGAAAGGGTGTGTTTTTCAAATAACTGGGAGTGTATGTATTCCAATATATCCAATATTTCAATTCAGATGAAATTTTGCGAAAACTAATTTTTCATATTTCCTGCCAAATAGATACAGGAAGATACGTTATTTTAATCAACATAACTTTCCCATCAAGACGACATCTTCTTTATCGGTTATGGAATTATGTCAAGGTGTGCCTAAATATTATGCCAGATTGGCTGGGCCATGGCTGCTGCTATAGCATGAAAAATATTTTTATAAGAAACAAAGAAAAAATGTTAACGTAAAAACATTGCGAATATATGTATATACCTAAATATATAAAACAAAATACCACTTGCTCAGTTTTGATCACCAGTGTAATCCCCCGAGTTGGAATCCACTTGAAGTAATCTGTACGAGGCCAATTAAATTAATCTTTAATATGAACATAATTTAGCATATTTGGTTTCAGCGAGATAACAGTTTACCATTACATTAACATTATAGTACATTGTAATGATGTGCATATCGCTAGCAAGCTAAGAGTGAAAAGTTGCTAGGCCGTATTTTAAAAGGATTTCGTCCTATTTTGACCACATCGGATTTTCAGTGATACTTTTGGACTTAAAAAATTTTTCTTTTATAGAATATAAGCGAGAATAAATGAAACAAGTACCTTTAGCCTTTTCAAAATAATGCATTTTTAATTTCTCTAGTCTCATGTTTCAAAATATGGGTTTTTATAAAAAGTGGACTTAGCAACTTATGTATGAATTATGAATATTCCAATAACGAAATGGGAAGGCGTCGATTATGTTGTAAATATATGTAAGGGCTTTCAAACAACTATTTACACCCATAGACGCAAGAATAGATATGTAAAATGTTGACTAGTTTTGGCGTTTATCCTTTTCTTTATTTAAAGTCTGTTAATTTTTTTGTGAAACATTTTATAACAAACGCCGAATAACTTTCTGAAAAAATCATAAAATCTTTAAAATTAAACTTTTTAACTAGCATTTAATCAGTTTTATAGCCCATTAAATTTTAGTACAATAAAGCGCATGTATGAAGCCGCTAAGTATTCTCGCTGATAATAATAATAATAAGAATGTTCGGTTTTTTATATGGAAGCAAATACGAAATTTAAAATTTTTAAGCAAAGTTATATTGTATTTGTTATAGGAGAAGCTAGACTTTAATAATAATTTACTAAACAAAAGCCAAAACGGGTCAAAGTGTCTCACACCAATTTTTGTTCATAAATATATCAAAAATGAAACAAAAATTTTTTGTAAAGATGTCGATAAATTTAAGAGCAACACAAGAAAACATGTGTAAAAAATTGCTTGTTTTAGAAAATTTGAATCTACATATTTAGTAGTTAGTAGCTAAAAATTAGTTCGTACGCACTTTTTAGCCAATAATACTGTAGGGACGCCAAAATGCCACAAAAAACGCCGTTATAAGTAAATTTAATTACGGTTCGTAGATTACGGTTTTGTGTGCCGTTTTTCTAGATCAGGTCATTTTTTGCACGTTATTTGCATTTTAAGTTTGCATTGCGAATGAAAAAAAAAATAAAACTTTAACATGGAAAATGTTACTCATACGCCATGTACGATATGGCGTATGAGTAACAATATTTACTGCCCCTATTTCATACAAAAAAATTACACCGGCACCAAAAAAAAAAGTTGAGTGCGCCTTTAACCAGGCCCACCTATCGACACGTATTTCGACCCGCTGAATCGTAACTGCTCGAAAATTTGAGGGTGTACGAAAATCCCTGCTAAAATTGCATCACAAACAACCTAGCTTAGGCCAAAGTGTAATGAAATTGTTTATCCCTAGCCATTCCTTATTAAGTTCTGAAAATCTTTTCGCGACTGATGGGTAGTGATGGTATTTTCGCCAAACTTGTTTGTCTTTTTCTAAAACAATTATTCTCTCTCCTTATTTTCAGTCATATTTTCCACTTTAAATATTTACTATTAACCTGTGCTTAGTACAAGTTTCAAGCACTAATTTATCTTTAAAAGTGTTTGATTTTTCATCTACATATATATAATTTGTTTTAGATTATGTATTTCCTTGACAGAAGATAAGTATGTTGTTGCCCTCTAGAAAAAAACTACTTAATATCTATTGGTAAAGAAATTTCTAGAAGTAAATGTTTGCATTTAAGTTAAAACAAACTCCTCAGGATTGGTCTGCTTATATGAAATTTGGAAAATTCATTACATCTAAGCGTTTGCTTGCAATGCTTTTCTATATTCTTGTACATTTCTACACTGCTTCTGCATTTGTGTGAGATTCAGCTTATTACCGCTACAAAGCTTTTTCGGAATATGAGCGTGCATTAGCCGAAAGCCGAGGGTGAATTCTCTCAGTTCAAATGCGCGCCGAAGCCAAACGAAGTGCACGTGCAAACATTAATGGAAAACCTACGAGAAAGGATAAAAACATGCGGATAAACAGTAGCAGTTTTCGCGTGCGCCAAACACAACGAATGAGCGGTGAAAAAATACATAATAAAGATTATTTGCTTTGAGAAAAGTGAAAGTGAGGTATAAAGCCATAAACAAAATGTGAAACATATTTAGATACATCAATTAAATATTGAAAAAGATAGGCCTTTAGGATTAGGCCAGGAATGACCAGGAGTGCATATCAAAGTGAAAATAATTTAATCCATAATAAACGTTTTCTCTCTCTCTCTCTCTCTCTCTATTTACAGCAGTATTCTTATATAGTAAAAGAAGCAACGAAAAAATGTCTAAAGTGGAAAAATTTGCTTTGTATTAAGAATATTGGCAAAGAGTTAAAACAATTAACATTGAAATAGAGTTAAAATGAAACATCAAAAATAATGAAAATTTAAATGTGAAATTTTCAACAAAAAAATAAGCATACGATATTTAATTACGCACAAGTAAATTGCTGTATAGTAACAAAAACTAAACCAATAGTAAGTGTTAACAAAAACAAAGGAAAATAGCAATAACAGTTACAAGGCAGAAAAAAACCATCACACACAAATTATAAAAAAAAAGTTATTATATAACCACGCGTATAAAGTAAACTCGCGCTTGTCGTTTGAACAAATTCTAAACATCAAATATACTACTTGTTAAATACTACAGCTAAATACTATGTGCTACAACTACTACTACTATTACTAAAACTATCTGCAGCTACAAAAAAAAATAATACATATATAAACATACTTGTATACTATTTAATAACCAAGTTATTACAACTTATCGTACTGAGTAAACGTCGCGTGTTCATTAGCTATCAGTGGAATAACATCGTTTATTTACGAATATCAATTGCATTTCTAAATTAACGAACTGAATTGAACTGAAAGAGCTCGCTGTTAACAATGCTGTAAATTGAACGTGAATTGCTATAGATTTGCGCAGGCGCGCAATCTCCACCAAAACACCGCTTCTGCTGAAACATGCAAAATTTCATGGTGTGAATGTTGGCAACGCTGGCGTGCCTCGGTGGTTTTGCCTGTATTAGGACTAGGTGAGTGCCTAAAAAGTATATATGTATATATGTATTACGGCGATATATTTGTATTTATAATAGTATTCAAAAATCGACACATTTACGACGACGAGACAGTAATTGAAATACATGCTGCAGAAAATTTAAATTGTCCTGATTGCAATTGCACTGTGCGACAAAAACAAAAGAAAAAAAGTTCAAAACATAAAAAACAATCAATATACTGAAGAAACCATGAGCCAAACATAGGAAAACTGCTTTTTTTTGTTTTATCTCTCTAACATTGACATTTTTGTTTCAAGGACTATGAAATTTCAAAAAACAAAAACTTATTTAAAAAATTCTGTGCGATGTAAAATAACAATATGGGTACCAAATGAAAGGGAAAACTCTGTAGAATTAAAAAAAAGCTTCTTTGAATAGGTTCGAAAATATAGTCTTAGTCTTTAACATATAATTTTTTCAAAAATAAATAATTAAAGTTTTCGCGTAAAATTTTAAAACGATATTTTCGACACCACTCGCCATTATGCACCATCATTTTAATATTTTTTTAATTTTGCAAGATATTGTCTTTAATTTGATAATCATATTGTTATTGTATAAATAAATTTATTTTTAAAATTTCATCGTCCTTTAAAAAAATCCTGATGCCAGAGGGAATCAAAAATACATTACGAAGCTCAAATAAATAAAAAACTAATTGTTGTTTAAATTCTTGTTGTTTATTTTTATACCGGTTTGAAACAGCAATTTATGTATATTAATTTAATTTGATAAACTATGCTATGTAAACTGTTGTTGATTTTCCACTTTTTCATTGGGAAATCCATAAAAGTGAGCGCAGAAAATAAATTTAAGGCATTGATTTCTACAAAACTTTTTAAAGAAAAGTTAAAAAAAATGTATTTAATGATAGACCATAAGTCTAAGGATAAGACCATAAGAAATTTTTAGTGAAACCCAAACTGTGCTGTGTATGAAAAAACGGAAAGGGCAAGAAAGGCTATTCGCAAATTCCAAAAATTCTAGATGAGGATTGCCATGTGCTCATTAGAATATTTCAAAACTGGCCCCGACATTTTTTCTCACCTATTAAAAGACGATACAGATTAAATGAAAGCAAAAGGAATTATAAAGACGCTAGAAAATTCATAGCCAAGCATCAACAAATTGGTAAGGCTGAATATTTTGCAGGTAGGCAATAAAAAACTTGATATTAGCACTGTTCAAAAATTGTTTATCTTTCCTAGTAAAAGGATAACCAACAAGTCTGGCCTGTCTAAGGCACTCTACCTACCCCCAGTGTTTGCTCGAGGAGGATCAACTTAGTCCAAAAAACGGTTCCGACCCCAGAAGTACAGACGATGAGCCTGCACTTGTTACCCACGATTCCGTACTGTTCTAGTAGCCATAATAACTATGAATACCGTGTTCCTTGCTACCAAGAGTTGGATAGTGTTAAATCATTCCTTGATGGGCCTGGAATTTACCGTTCTGATGGAAAGGCCACATATGGCCGCCTGCCCCTCTGAAAAGATAACTAGAAACGCACAATTTTCAACCCTTCTCAAGGTTTAGTCTGGCACAAATTGAGATTGCTAGCACCTCGGCCTGAAAGACCAGTGATAAAGTACCCATTTTAATCCAAAATTTTGGTGCCAAGTCTAAAGACACCCGCTCCTGCTCTGCCCTCCATCTTCGATCCACCTGTGTATCACTGTAAATATCTGTGATTTAGTTCTGGTAAACCATTTGGCCAGACATCCCAGTCAGGTATTTCTTAGAAAATACCTTTGCATTGTTTTTTAAGAGTACTGTCAGAATTTTGCATTTGCAAATTCCTTGAAGCTGCTTCTGCTTTGACAACAATGTTGAGTGGGGTCCTACCTAGGAGCGACTCTCAAGGCTACGGTTGAACATGTTCTTGTTGCTCCTGTAGATACAGGTTATTCAAGTATGTAAATAAATTAATATTTTGTTTTACAACAAATTGGTTAAATTTTTGGTTGGGGGGAAAAAATACCATCCTAGAAAACGGGGCACTCCCTTAGTTTTTTCCTTTTGTACTGTAACAAATACAGGGTGCTCAACGGCCTTGAAACGTGCTGTGAAACTGGCAAAAATATTGGTGATTTTTATAAAAAGCTACTGTTTCCATGACAACTGAAGCCTGTGTTATTTTTTTAGATAATTGAAATCGGAAATGTTCTTAGGTTGCTTAACCAATTGTTTGATTAATATACATGTGTACTCAATACTTCTTCTAGAGTAAAATATAAGCATTATGAGCATCCTCTAAATTTATACTTAGAAAGGTAAACTTTGGAAGCTGCCCCAATTTCGGAATTTTTTTTTTTGGAAAACTCTAGTGTACATACTAACACAATATTTGTCAAAAATTTGCGCCTAAAACTATGAAGCTAAGATTTGTCTGTATTCGACTAAATTTTTTGTGCATTTTTAAAGCGCCTCAAATTAAATTTTTGCTGCATAGTTTTAGTCGTAGCTCACTTGTCAAAGGAGTCCAGCTTGACAATTTCTCAAGTGCACAGAATTCGGGGGTTAGTATGTTCTGAACCTAGGTAAGCTATTAAAGAAATAGGTTTCCAAATATTTTGCAGTAAACATTATATGGAGGTCCCAGAAAATGATGAGTCCACCCAGGAATACCACATGTAAAAACCAGTTCATTTTTAAGCACAGCTGTCACAGTAGTATACTGGCTAAACGCTTCCTAAAGTCTTCTTTCCAATTTTGAAACAACTGTCAGACTTTTATTTGATGAGTTCGGGGCGCATCAACCAAATGTCAAAACTTATTCTTACAAAAATAATTTGAAGCAAGTTTTTTTTTTTAGTTAATTACTTATTTGATTTGTGCTGTTGTTTTTAACGGTCATATTTTGACTGAAAATATTTGAAAGAAATTGTTTTTATTTTACTAAATGCTACTGAAAATTTGCTAAAGTGTGAAATGGAGTCTATTATATGCATATATATGCGTTCATGTAGTTTTATTTAATATATTACAACATTTAATTTCCTTTTTAATTAATTTTAGTTCATTTTTCTCCCCAAATCTGCCTCCAATAACAGCAAAACTTTCAGGTTATTTCGGACAAAAAAAAAAAACTGTATCTTAACTAAATAACAATTGTGACAAATGAAACTCTAGATTAATTACAAAAAATACAACAAATGGTTTATTGGTGTCCGAACTGTCACGATGCCTCGGTCATGCCGCCACCCACTTCGCAGGTAACAATTACTAAGTAATAAAGAAAGCTGCGTTCTCTTCATTCATTTAGCAAAGAAACAAAATCATTCATTTCATGTACTTGTATTTGAAGTTGCGCTAGCGTATCTATTTATTATCAGCGTCATATATCACATAAAAATATTTCAAAATATGCGCTTTTTTACAAGCTACGACTGCTATCGACTTATAAAGCTATGGTCAAATAAATGACCTTTCTTCGAAGGTCAAGCCAATTTATCCTTTTATTGAAGATTGTGACAAAGCACTTCAAGGCTCCTGCAGTTGCCACAAATCATAGTTGATAGCCCATTAGCATTTTGTGACCGCCCATAACCAGCTGTAAATAATATAGATAGCCAATGGAATTTCACTTTATGCCAATAAAAGATACCCCGTTTACCAGAAAATCAATTTGGACACGACAATTTGGAGTGATGTCAAATGTTCGCGTGCTTGCGTGCAAGCTATTGTGTGGATGTGTGGGTGTTTCGGTCTCACACACGCGAAATGACAAAATGACAGTACATTAAGCGGAATGCTAGCGAAATGACAGGTTGAAGGCTCGCATATATCGATTTTTGCCTATTAAATATAATCCGCCTTCATACTCCCACACACAACGCTAGTATTTACATAGGAACCTTCTGTTTTGTATATACATATGTATGCGTGTAAGTACATAGGCGCACTGCACGCATCAAATCACGCGTTATTTCATTTTGTTCATTTAATAAATATATGAGTGTTCGCGCATATGGTTGTCAATTCATTCCGAGTATGCTTTGTAGGGCAATGACGATGATAATTCGTCTGGAAAATGTCAATCGCCAGATAACGACGAACGTCTAGGTGGACGAGCGAAGGAGCAAATGGGTAATTTAAGAATTAGGTCAGCATTAGGCATGGCGCACACTAGGCCGATACGACATGCGATATTTTGTCGCAAGAGTATCGCTGTCGTGCAAGTGTGCACAGTTTTCATCGCTATCTACCAATTTACACGTACTCAACATGTCGATGTCTCTTTCGCATCGTATCGCGTATCGTATCGCGTATCTTATAGCTCTAATGTGCACCATGCCTTATTGTGTTGAGTATTCTTCAAGAACATGCATATGCATACACACGTGCATATACTTAAGCTGGCCAATGCTTTGTGGCGGGAAATATTTAGCACTTGGAGGTTTGTGATTATTATTATAGTTAAAAGAGTTCTTATAAATGTTGTGTATATGTTTTTGTGGATGTTTGCGGTTTTTAAGTTCAATTCGATGAGAAACTAAAAACTAAAAAAATAGACTATTTTTGAATTCTTTCAAAAATATTAGGTATGCACTTATATAGCTCATTAAATTTTAGTGCAGTCTTCACGTGACTCAGAATTCAGATAGCAGGCATTTTCTGACAAAAACTGACAAAAACTGATTAAAAATCAACGAAATTTCTTAACCACTTCCCATATTGTACGAGTACTTTTCTGCAAAAAAATAAGCAATTATATTAATCTAAATCTAAATATAAAATCAGTTAGTGGTCCAAAGTTATGCGGTAACAAATATATAAAAAAAAATAATAATAAAAATATTCCGACGAATTTATATTCTTCTCCTTTTTTTGAAGTCGGTCAATAAGAGTTTGGCAGTATGGAACCGTTATTCCACACACTCACACGCAAAGACTGTCTCTCTAAATTCTATCTTTTTGCTGGAGCTTTTCTTTTTCACAAGTTTCTTGGTCGGACTCAAATTGAGGCTATT